GTTTTAAGTACCCAACATTTAATTAAACATTAAGATGGGAAGGCTCGGGATCTCAGGCCGCCTGCCCTGCGGCCACACCTCAACAAACCCGGGCTGAGTGGGGAGGACCCACCTCTGCCGGGGGCCGGTGTCCCACCGAGGGGACCCAGGGGTGGCGGAACAGGGGGATCAGGGCGGCCCCGTTCAGGGCACCAGGCAGGGACTCCGGGCGGCATCCCCTCCCTCGTCCTCTAGGCGGCGGGAGCAGCGGGAGCGGGGACACCCCCTTGGCCCCGCCGTGCCTCAGCGGGTTCCAGTGGCGCGCCGCCCCAGGAAAGTTCCCCGGCCCCGCCGCCCCTGGGGCCCCTGGAAAGTTCCCGTGGCTGCCGGACCCCAGCCGCAAGGCGCCCGGCGTCGCACAGCGCGGTCAAGGCTGCGGGTTCCGGCCGCGTCTCGGCGGGGGCGCGCGGTGCGGGGCGCCCTGCCGCGCACAAAGGGACCCGCTCCCGTGGTCCAGGGTCTCGCGCACCGCGGCGCGGGCGAGGGACAGGTGGGGCGGAGCCCGGCTCCTTCCCCGGCCGCGATACCCGGCCGGACTTCGATTCTCCGCTCAGGAGCCCACCTAGACGCCGGCCCCTGCTGGACCGCAACCTGGATCTCGTCCGGGACCTGTGGCCTCGTCCCAATCCCGGCCTCGACCTCCGGACCCCGCCCCCCGGCCTGAGCTTACCTGGAGCGCGGCGTGGGCGGCCCCGCAGCGTGGCCCCCGCCCCCAGACGGGCGTCCCGGGTCTCTCGGCGCACCCGGCGCGGCGTCCCCAGGGCGCGGCGGGGTTAGCGGTCCTCCGGGCCTCAACTTGGGCTGGTGCGGGGGCGTATCCCTCCCGTGCCCAGCGTGCAGCCCCGGGGCCAGCCCTCCCCGCCCCTCGCGCGGCCCGTGCGCAAAGCGGGTCTGGCCGGCTACGCGACCCTCCGCCCCGCCCCATCCGAACGCGAATTTTCCCATTGGCCGGGAGACCCAGCGCGGCCCGGCAACCGGCGCCGATTGGACGGGCGCTGGGAGACGCCGGCTTGCCATTGGGCTCCCGGGGTGTCCGTCCCGGCCGACAACCGGCCCCTTCGTGGAGCGGCCGAGGCCCTGGCACCTGCCGGGACCGCAGCGGCGCGGCCGGGTCCTCGGGCCGCCCCCCCTCGGCCGCGTTCGAGGACGTCCCCAGACCGTCCGGCCCCGAGCGGGGATTGGCAGGCCCCGCGCCCCTTCCCGGGACTCCAGCCTGGCTGCCTCCATCACTGCCCCTAGCTCGCTGGGATCCTTCTCCGGCGTCAGCTGTTCGCCGGGGCGCTGCGCGCCTCGCCCTCCTGTCAATATCTAATTGTGTTCTTCACACAATCCGCGAGGGAGAGTTCTGCCGCCTTTCCATTTTACAGATGGGAAATTGAAGCTCAGAAAGGTTCTCACTTGCTTTAGGTCTCCGGGACTGAAACCTAGTCCGTTACACTCCCGGGCCTGGAGCTTCTTCCTCCCTCGTCGCCCCGGGGTCCTCACAGAGAGGCGGGGCTCAGAGACCTTGGCTCAGCGAGGCTGGATAGGGAGCCGTGTTTCTGAGGGCAGGAAGGGCCTTTCGGTGAAATAGAGGTTTTCCTCCGCCACCAGGCCTGAATCTCCGGACACCTTGGCTCAGCCCACCCTGCAGGACTGCCACAGGACTGCCGTCCCTCATCTCCTCCAAATCACCACAGTCAGGGCCTGGGAGGGGGTGGGGGAGGAGTTTGTGTGTTTATCACCACCTCCTCTTCCTGGTGTCCCATTTCCTCCACCATACCTGGATCTTGCAGGAAACCTGTAGGGTGCAACCACCTGAGTAGAGTTTCGCACAGGTTGCTTTTTCTGCCAGGTGGAGAACAGCCACCTGGTCCCTGCAGTGACACAAGGCACACATATATGACCACAAATGGGACCATAATCCTTGGCCAGCTCCACTTAACTTTGTGGTGTGGCTGGGGGGGGCATCAAGTGGGGGTGCTGCCCAGTGGGCTTTATTTCAGGCGGTTCAGGAGATGATGGCCCCTTGGCCCCTTGGCCAGTGACTCTGGCTCACGCTTAGTTCTAAGTCTTTCCTACCCTGGTTGCACCTGGAGATGACCAGATTCTCAGCCCACCATATTCCCCACGTCCACTCAGGGAGTCACATGACAGCGCTAATGGGGAGACCGGACATTCATGGCTTATCCACCCACATCAGGGGTCCAGAGTGTTCACACCATAGTTGCTTGCTTGGAACAAAGAAAGTGAAGAGCTGTAGGGCTAGAACTCACCACTGGTACCACCATTGGGTACCCCCTGTGGTACCTGGCGCACATAGCAAATCTACCCTAGCCTTTTGGAGCCAGGCTGCCACCACCAGTCAATTGGAGTTGGCACTTGAGATGAGAGCCATTTGACACTCTGGCATAGTGATGTTGCTTGTGGCTCTGGCAGATGGAATGCAGTGTCCTTCTTTGGAACACAGGGGCCCCTATGAGCAAGGCAGCTCTTGTCCTGTGGAGCTGCACCATTGGTGACATTCTGAGCCAGCGGCTGTGTGGGCTGAGGGGTTCTCTTCCCTCCATTAGGAGTGGATCTCATTAGTCCAACTGTCTCTACAGATTTCTCCAGGGGCATTGGACCCTGGTCTTCCTGGAGCCCTATTCTCATAGTGAGCTTGTGGTCCAGCATCATCCCTTCCCCCCACACTTGCTGATAGTGGCAGGAGGAGCTGGACAGACCTCTGGTGAGAGAGCAAAGAGGAGAATTGTGCTCCAGAATTGGCCTAGGTGAGGACTGCCTCCCCGCCCCCCACTCCAGGCAGGATTCTGTCCCCCAGGCTGGATCACCAGCCACATACAGAGGAGTAGGGTGGACAGTATCAGTTCCAAGAGGACTCAAGGCCACTCTCTGGCAGTGGGGCCACCATGACCCAGGCTGCAGGTAGGGGTCAGGAACAGGGAACCCCTACAGTGTGACCAGTGGCACAGGGACCAGTAACCTAGTCTCTTCCCTCTCTCTCACCCTCTCCACACAGCTGCAGGACAGTTCTGGGGGACATCCCTGGGACATGTGAGCAAAGCTATAGGGACAAAAAGGTTTTAACTTCTCAACAGCGGCAAATGTTCAGAGATCAGAAGGGTGACCAAATAAGGCAGTGAGCTCCCCAACTAAGGATGTGTGAACTCTTTGCAGCCCTGAGACCCCAGGGGTCAGCTTCCCACCCTGACCCATCTTGTCTTATCTGCTTCCTAGCACTGAATGTTGTCCATTGGAGTCAGCAGAGACAGACTATCAGAGTACCTGACATGGCTCCATCCAGATGGGGAGAGTGTAGCTAGAAGTGGGGCTGGCCCAGGGCCATATGCTTCTGTGGCAGACCAGGATTTGAACCTCTGTCCAACCCATGCATGACTGCATTCCTCTTTGCTAGCAACAGGAAAGCACCATTCTGTGTCCCACTCCCCTGAGGCATGTGGCCCAGTGGTTTGGGGCAGACCACTCTGCAACTGCTGCCTTGTACCCCAGGGCATGGTCACACACGTCTAAGCCCCAAGTCGTCTTTTTTTTTTTTTTTTTTAAGATTTTATTTATTTGAGAGAGAGAGTGAGAGAGAGAGAGCATGAGAGGGGTAAGGGTCAGAAGGAGAAGCAGGCGGGCGCCTGGGTGGCTCAGTTGGTTAAGCGACTGCCTTCGGCTCAGGTCATGATCCTGGAGTCCTGGGATGGAGTCTCACATCGGGCTCTCTGCTCAGCAGGGAGTCTGCTTCTCCCTCTGACCCTCCCCCTTCTCGTGTGCTTTCTCTCTCGCTTTCATTCTCGCTCTCTCAAAATGAATAAATAAAATCTTAAAAAAAAAAAAAAAGGAAGGAGAAGCAGGCTCCCCGCCAAGCAGGGAGCCCGATGTGGGACTCGATCCCGGGCAAGGCATCAGTGCTCTGAGTCAGATCACAGATCCACACAGGACTGTGGATTTAATCCAGCCACTGCCACTTGCTATCTTTTTTTTTTAAATGGTGTAACTGCTCTGAGCTTCAGTGTTTGCATCTGTAAAATGGGGGGAATGACACCTGTGGACTGGGACCCTGGGTTTGGAGTGCTTAGCACATTGTTATTATCCTTAATGTAACTGTCATCCTTGTCCTAGTTTGCCGAGCGCCCACTTTGGAGTAGGCCCTGGGCTCTGGGCCTCTGATTCTCCACTTTCCCTGCACTCAGGCCCTAGACACAGCCTAGAGGATACTGAAGGCAGGGAGCCCAGCAACTGCCTCTGTCCTGTTGAAATGCCCCCAGTCAGTGCCCCTTCCCGCCCTTTTGCTCACTTGCTCACCCATTACAGCTGAGCGTGGGCCAACCCTTCCTCCTAGGGCCTGGACCTGCAAAACAGCCTCCAAGTGGGCTCAAAGGCCACAGTGGCTGGGTGGGTCTGGAGTGCCCGGTCCAGGGTCTGTCCCGAGTGTGGCAGGATTGCGGGGGGGTAGGGGTGGTGGTGGGGTTGGTGCAAAGGCCAGAGTGGCAGAGGCTGAACCGAACTGGGAGCCATAAAGAAAAGGGAGGGATGCCAGGTCTAGAGCTAGTGGGTGTGGAACAGGACCCAGCCTGAGGGGCGGGTCCGGAAGTGGGCATCCCGCAATCGCTCCCAGAGAAGGCCGCCAGGTGGTTTGGTGACCTATGGCCCCTGGAGTTCAGACCGCGGCCCTAATGGGTCCACGAAGGCATGCTCTTGGGGCGGCCGCAAGCGGCAGCGACCTCCCACGGGCATCTTCCGGCGTGGGCAGCCGGTAAGTCTGGGAAAGCCGCGGGGGTCACGAGACCCCCAGACGCACGCGCAGCCCCGAGGCTTGGCGCAGCCCTGGGGGCGGAGCGCCGGGAGGGTTGCAGCCGCCGAGTGACAGCGCGTCCAGCCAACGGTGCTCGGGGTCGCGGCGTGCCGCCCCGCCTCTGGCGGCGCAGCCCAATGGCGAGCGCTCAGAGGGCGCGGGGGCGGGGCCTGGGCGGCGGCGGTGGCGCGCGGGCGCGGCACCCGGAAGTCGGCGGCGACGGAGGCGGTGAGTGTGCGGCTGGCGGCCCGGGCGGCGGACTCCTCTCCCCAAAGGGCCGGCCCAGGACCCGGGGCGCGGGGCTCCGGGGGGCGCGGGTAGGGAGGGGAGGGACAGGGCCGCACCTCCCCGCCCTGCCTGTTTCCTTTTCCCGAGGCGTGGAATGGAAATCCTACGGCTGGGTCCGGAGAGACCAACTGACCCCGACGAAGCGCCCCATGCGTTACTCGAAGGCGTTTCCAGTGATCCCCGCCCCAATGGGAAGCAGGGTCCATTGGCAGGCCGGGCCGGTCTCGCTGCGGGGAAGCAGAGACTAGCGGGCCGGGAGCTGCGTGGTCGCTGCAGGGTGGGTGGGCTAGGGCCTCAGACAGTTCTGAAGCCCTGAGTCACGGTGCCACCACCCTGTGGCCTGTTGCGGGGCAGCCGGATGACAGCTGATGTTTGTCTCAGTAGGCAGCAAGTGCTCGGTCATGCCTGCGCTTGGACACGCCTTTTCTGGGGTGGCTCAGTTAGTCTGACCATCCCCCCACGGTATCAGGGGTGGGGGCTGGGCAGGGTTGCACCCAGGGCAAGCGCTGGCCCTGGTGCTTGGCTTTAAGACTCCCTTCCCCGACCCCAGAGTGTCAGGTGCTTCATGGCCTCCCTCGGGGCCACGGCTTTAGAGTGAGCCTTCTGCCCTTGGACTAGTCCGTGAGCCTCAGCCCTTTTCCTCCAGCAGGGATATCACATGCTGGGCTCAGGCCTGGCCTGGCGTCCTGCTCCCAGCCTGCTGACTGCTGTTTTGCCGCTGCTGTTTGGGCTCAGAGCTTTCTTCCATGAGGCAGATGTGACGTGATGGCAGCTATAAGGGGTGACTGCAGCTGGTAGTACTTTGGAAATGCTTTCTCGAACTTGCTTGTTAATCCTCTGGGCAACCTTTTTGGGCAAATGTTCATTGGTTGGCTGCTGTCCACGGTGAAGAAAACTCAGGCTGAGGGGCAAGTGGTGTTCCCAAGGTCACTCAGAGCCAGGGCCAGGTCTCAGTGCCTCTGCTCCACCTTGGCTACTGTCTCAGGATCCTGCCGGCTTTGGGTGAGCTGGCTGGTGAGGTGGAGGCAGGAGGACACAACAGAGCTTATGTCCCCTCCTCTCCAGGATCCTAGAGCTCCCGTCTGGTGGGTGGGCTGCCCTGGTGCCCCCACCTTATCTGGCCTTTGACCATTAGCCCCAGTCCTGTGCCTTCATGTTCCTGGCATGTCCACAGACTGCGGGCCACTCAGACTGGGCTGCTGCCACTGTTTGCTCTGATGTGTGGTGACAACAGCTGTCCCTGAATGAAGGAAACAGGCTGTCAGTTCTGCCCCAGCTGCCCAGTCCCTGCACTGTTGTGCTTGCCTCATGATTCTTTTTTTTTTTTTTTAAAGATTTTATTTATTTATTTGAGAGAGAGAGAATGAGAGATAAAGGCCACGGAGGGGGTAGGGTCAGAGGGAGAAGCAGACTCCCCGCTGAGCAGGGAGCCCGATGTGGGACTCGATCCCGGGACTCCAGGATCATGACCTGAGCTGAAGGCAGTCGCTTAACCAACTGAGCCACCCAGGCGCCTGCCTCATGATTCTTTTGTGACCTCGTTCTGTGGGCTTTTTGATCGTGTTTCACCATGGATGTAACTGTGTGTGGTGTCTCGGGGCCTCGCTCCTGTGCCTGGCTTCTGTATCAGGGTGAAGCTCTCTGTAGAGAGCTTGCCCTGGTGCCTCCCCGCAGAGGAAGTGGGCCTTTTACTCCTGAGGACTTCCGTGGAGAAATGAGGGGCCTCCAGAGCATGCCTGGAGATAAATGGCTCGTGGCAAGGAGGCTGGGAGGACTTTTAGAAGTGGTGCCACACTTGTCATTGATGCTCCAGATGTGCAGGAACTGGGTCCATCCTTTGGCAACATGGCATGTGTGTGACGGCATCACCGTTGAATCTGGCATTTGTTGGTCCAGACCATGGGGTTGGATGATGGGCTCCGTGAAAACAAGGTCGCCCCAGGTCACCAAGCTGTCTTTCCAGGTTATCATCGCAGTTTTTTTTTTTTTTTTTTTAAGATTTAATTTATTTATTTGACAGAGAGAGACACAGGGAGAGAAGGAACACAAGCAGGGGGAACAGGAGAGGGAGAAGCAGGCTTCCCGCGGAGCAGGGAGCCCGATGCGGGGCTCGATCCCAGGACCCTGAGATCATGACCTGAGCTGAAGGCAGACACTTTGACGACTGAGTCACCCAGGCGCCCCCCTTTTTTTTCTTTCTTAACTTTCCTTTTTAGATTTGCAAAAATGATATATGTGCACTTAAAAAAGGCCGTCCACCATCTCTTGGCGGCTCCCGACACTCCGGGTACATCTTGGTTGAAATACTCCGTTGTCCTTTATTAAGCATGGGGGCTGCAGTGGTCACTGTGAGGCCGGGCTGGCCCCTGGCTTGTGGGGAAGCCAGGAGGGGCTAAGGTAGAGGGCCTGCCCTATGTCCAGGGCTTTCTGAAATGCTCATTCTTCCCCTCATTTGCGTTGCTCCTTTGAACTGCAGAGATAGTGACACTTGGTGTGGAGTTGAATTAGGGCTCCCCAAACATGGTGGAGATCTCAGAAGAGAGTATCCCTGTAGAAAATTTGTCATGGTGAAATGCCACTTGGTCAAAATGACGAAACACAGATTGTAGAATCCTCAGTTGCTGAGCTGGGAGGAGGGTGGGGTGTTGCAGTGGGCTGGCTGCTCAGAATATTTACAGACGTCAGGGCTTTCTCAGCCAAGGCCCCTGAACAGCACAGCGACACTGTGTTCCCATGTGTGTTTACCTCCTTTGCTGGCAGCTGCTGGGAGGACATTCCGCGTCAGGCGAAAAGAGCAGCGCATGCTTTCCAGCTCCGCCCCTGGGGGCTGCCACAGTGATCGCACAGGCTGCGCTGGGTGAGGCTGAGGTGTCTGGCTCCTCAGCCCTGTCATGTGAAGCGCGAGGGCCCCTGTCCTCTGCATGGCTCCTCAAGACCAGATAGACAGGCTGGCAAGCCTTGAAAATATATCCCGAAATGTGTAAAGTGCTTGGAGCTGAAGATTCTCTGGTCCAGGTAACCTCTGTTCAGAGCCTTCATGTGCATATCCAGCCGGTGGGAGATGGATGTGATGTGAACTGGGAGCCTCACTTTCCGGGTGTCTAGGCCCTCTTGGCTCTGTGTGGAGGCCACAATAGCTCCCCATTCATTCGTGTGCATCCCTGTCATTCTTTGCTGCATTCTGACCTGGCATGTCTCTCCTCCACTGAGAGGCCTGTTTGCCTTTTCAATTGACAAAAGAAAGTGCTCCCACCGAGGGTGCAGGCCCCCTGCCCCTGGCACCCCAGTTTTCAGGTGTGGTTTTGCTCTCTGCTCAGGTGCTGGTGTCATTATGCAGAACTCTTCAAGAGGCCTGGCTCTGCTTTGAAGGGTTTGTACCAGGGCTGAGTGCACTCTTGCCCGGTCTCGCATGGATAACGTCTTTTTCGGCCTTTCTTTTCTCCCTACACCAGCCTGCCCATAAGAGTGCACATAAAGCATGCCTGCTGTTAGTGTGCATGTGTTTTAAATATCCAGCTCCATGCGTTGTACAGGGAGCCCAGCCATACCGCTAGCGTCCATACCAAGAAGGTGTGCTAGCACCCGGATGTCCCCTATTCCCCAGACCAGGTGGCCCTGCCCTGAATTCTGCCCTCAGCGATGAGTTTTGCTTATTTCTGGCTTGGGTACAAATGATGAGGTGGTGTGCCGTCTCTGCCGTGGGGTTGCTGGGGAGCCGGGGCTCACTCAAGACTCAACTGCTTGCGGCGCTTCATGCTCAGTGCTGGGTGTGACGAGTGGTGGTGGTGGCCCAGCACAATTCATTAGACTTTTAGAAGATTCTATGAATAGCCAGGAGGGAGACTTGTCCTTCAGATACCAGAGCATGTGCTGAAGCCGAGAGGCCTGCCAAGCATGCCGGACCGCCGTGGAGCCTGGTGACTGGGTGTCCAGGGTATGGCTGAGGTGGGACAGACCTGACTGACGCCTGGCACCTGGGAAGCAAGGGGTACCTCACACCACCCAACGGAGCAGGGCATGGGCTGACCTGAGAACTAAGCCAAAATACAACCATGCAAAGAAGGCAAGGGAAAGGGGCTTTCACTCTGGGGCACGGAGGGTGGCCACTATGCGGTAGCAATGGGAAACCTTGCGGTAAAGTAACAGATTGTTTCCAATAGATAGTGCCACAGGCAAGGCTGCAAGACAGGGCAGGTGTGGGAGGAGATATCGGCAGCTGTGGATCAGACAGCCCGTGAGCCTGCCCACACCACGTGCACCACACTACAGGTCAGTGCAGCAAAAGCCCAGGATTCGATACCCAAATCGGTGATTCGTGGACACAGGCAGGCAGGTGTCTGTAAGATGCGCAGCCCCTGGGGGTTGCCAGTGTAACCATGGTGAGAGTGTTTTCTGCCATCCTGAGGAGGGCAGCAGCGGCAGGTTGTGGTGCTGGCAGGACGCCCCCTTGCCCAGCCACTGGTACCTGTACTGGATGTTTGGAGGGAGTTGGGCAAGGTCTGCTCACCTAAGAGCATCATCCTCTGAGCAGCCATTCTGCCCCCTCCGTCTCTGTCCTAGGAAGGTCTTCAGCCCATTTGCAGAGCATGTGCTCCCACAGGAGCTGCTGGTTGTGGTCACAGGAGGCATGTGGAGCCTTGGGCTGGGGATGGACGAGTGGAGAGCAGGTGTGGGAGGACGGGTGGGCTGGGAAGAAGGGAAGTGGACAGGCCTTGGTGCAAACGCTGGAGGAGATGGTGCTTGTTGGCGTGGGGTGGTTGGCCGGCACAGTTGGTGCGTGATGCCCATTAGCCCCCAGGCAGGGTGGGCCAGCAGCTGGGTGGCATCTGGAGTGCACAAGAGGGAGATGGGGGTTGGTGACCACCCCCAGCAGTGCTGAGGTCTCCCCGTCCCCTGACCAGGTCCTTCCCCGTCTGGGCTAGCGGTGACAGTGAGGTCCG